GGTTTAAGTGTGAGTCATAGAGCGTATCCAACCTGAGGAGCTGCCTGGCCTCTTTGTTTCTTCCCAGACATGCGTCATCGCCCCCTCCATGCCTTTCCTTGCCTTGGCTGATGTACATCCTCTCCAACTCAGCCATGTTCCTCAGGTGATTGCTCTTCAGCTCCTCCAGCCTCCTGTAGTACTCCTGGTTGGAGAAGTAAACATGCTGCTCCCTCTGCAGACCAACGATTTCCAGTGACAGAGAGCTGCGAATGCCTCTCCCGTCTTTTCCTTCCTCACTGCACTCCGAGTCCAGGTCACATTCCTGACAGGTTAGAAGTTGCCAAGATTATGAAACATTGCGAATGAATTCAGTGCAATAGATTTACTTTGAGTGCTTTGAGTGATTGCACATTATTTTTTCAACCTTTTCTATATTGGCTTCTATTAAGAGGAACATTACACAAGCCATTAACAAGTCATTGCAGCACCAAAAGCAGGTTTAGTATGCAATGCATGTATACAACCTTCATCTACCTGTGGCTGAACTGCAAAGACCTTGCATTCATGGGGTTAGAGTGTGCATAAAAAATTAACTTCATAAGGGTATTTCCATTTTTCATTTTTAGACACCTTATGTAGTTGTTATCAGAAACAATAGCAACTGTCTGTTGCACTCAGACTTCTTTCATCTAGCTGTGAAACCGCTGAAGTAGTGTATTTTATACTAATGTTTTATGCTCTGCATGCAATGCCTCAAATAAAAGATTTTCAGTGCAACGTTGAGGAGGGATGTGGGAACTAGTCAGGGGATTTCCTTCTGTTCACATAAGTGCACAACTAAGTGCACAACTTCGTAATTCATAATTCTATCTAACTTTGAATGTACATATACATACACATATTGAAAACAGATTTAAACAGACTTTATTATCTTTAAACCTTTAGCTTCCTTACCTCACTGATACAGTCCTCATCCTTGTCAAAATAATGATCTCTTTCCCCTCCATACAGAGCCACTAATTCTTTGTTTCCCAGAGAGGGTGATCGGTACAAAGCTGCCATCCTTTTCCTTATTTTATCCCAAAGTCACAGCCAGAAGCAAACCTTCTGCACGTCCTCTGTCACCTCACTCAGCACACTGACCTCCTAGGAAAATAGTTTTACTTCGAGTAGGAAGATTAACACATTGTTACCGCCTCGTTCTAACAGACGAACACAGACTGAGAGCCTTATCTTCTTACCATCAGGAGGAATCACGGCTTCATGGCCAGATGGTTCAGATGGCCCAGATGGTCCAGTGGCTTTTCACTTGAACACATGATTCATCGAAGTCCGATTGATGTGGACGCTCCCAATCTGATTTACAGATTAGCTTTCTTAAATACAGCACAAGTGCTCCATCTGTTGTAGTGTGCAACAAGTCTGCAGGAGCAGACTTGTTGAATTGTTGATGATCAGCTGTATATATATATATATATTATTATTATATTATTATATATATTTACTGGTGACTGGGGTTGGGATGTACCTACAGTGTCACACAGTAAATACTGTTGTCATAATTACAAAAGCATTTAGTTTTATTTTTGGAGTAGATATATTTCTTTCTATTTTCTCCACTAATCTATAAATCAGCTTTGTTTGTTGCCTGTTTATCGCATTTACGTCACAGCTTTGGTAAAAACGTTGCTCTTGTTTGCCAGAAGCACTTTTTTTCCCCCAAACTAGTGGCTGTGGAGTAAAATGAGCATAAAGTTTGGAGAGAAGCTTAGACAAATATGTGATCCTAAAATTCATATTGCATCATAACAATGAATATTATTTTTAATATTTTAAATACAGAATAGGTTTGATGCTCTTTGTGAATGTACACAGCTGATTTCAACAACATGCAAGCAGATATTTCATTAATTGTCCTGGCTGATTATCGTCCGTGACAGGATACTGCCTAGACTGTCTTTAAACTACAGAGTATACAGTTGGTCTGAAGGTGGAATTCAGTGAATGAATCTGGCTGTCATTATCTGGCTAAATAAACATTTGATTTTATCTATCTCAGTAGCATTCTACTCAAAATTAGTGCTTCGTGTTTATTGAGGACAAAGAATCTGTTTTTTTGAGTGTGTCAGGTGGATCAACTTACCCCTCACATGAGGCGTGAAGGCTAAGGTTGAGTATCATATTTCTTTAGCTACAGTTCATCTCACGTTAAATATAAAGCATCTCACCCCTACAGGAAAAACCAGTTCCTTGCTGTTAACTGTTGCTTATCTACAGTGCAGCAAAGCATAGACTATTATTCAGAGATACAAAAGTTAACACAGCTTGAAATGTGACTAATATTCCATAATGATTCAAAGGGTGTAAACTATGAACTCCTTTATTATCCTGTGGCAGCTTGTGGATGAGACCATGGAGAGGTCTAGCACAGAAAATGTGGAATTAATCTTGGTTAGTGAATCTGAGAAAAATTATTTTCACCTCAAATACCACATACAGAAACTCAGAGTCTAATATCTACTAGTTTGGGACAAGTAAGGTGAAGGTTGACTTTGATTCGGTTCAGACTTTCAGGATTTGACAGGTGAAGCTGGAGGGGAAGGACACCTACCGCAGCCAACTGTGGTAATCCGTTTACTCAGGTTTCTCAGCGCTGTCGTTACAGGACTTCACCTCGTGCTACAAAAACTCTCCCCATCTGTTGCCTGTCTCTTTCCATTTCTTCCTCTGTTTGTTTACCTAAGAACCACAGACAG